TTTACCAATGGTGTCATTCCTCATAATAGAGAAAACCTCTTTAACGAGAACTTCACTTGCTTCTGGATTGACTCGTCCAGTCACCACATCGGACTGGGTCTTCAGGTTAACTGTTACTTAAGAATTGACCTTCACTTTGTGTGAGTTCATTGGAGTATGAACCTTCATAGAGTGAGGGCCAAACTGTATGAACGTCGGAGCTTTGCGATGACGTTCATACAATGTTTGGCCCTCACTCTATGAAGGTTCATACTCCAATGAACTCACACAAAGTGAAGGTCAATTCTTATAATTTTTTTATCACAATTTCTTACCCCAAAGGATGTAGGCCAAGATCTAAACACAATTTTATTTAGTACGTGTGACTTCATGTTTACACTGACAGCCATACAACAACCAGCTACATCGCGGAGTAAAATAGTTCCTCAAAAAGAGAGGTGACATGGGCGTATGGATGCACATCATGCTCTTCAGAAACATCTTACGCAGCACATGTATTCAAATCATATCCTCATTAGATGAGAAAGGTCTGTAAAGAACTACCTCAGTAAGTCAGTCACAATGACAGCGCGTCGTAATACATTTACATCAAGTACAAGACGTCAAAATGGCCGACACGATAAACGTGACGGGAGCGATTTCCGAAGTTGTTAATGAACCTGTGGCGGTTACATGTGTTAGTCATCATTGATCAACTGGCCGATCATTGAAAGGTGAATAAAGATGCGTCAAACAGACACTAAGGTAAATTCATAGATTGCTGGAGACGGTCAATGTCAGACTAGACACGGATGGAGTCGATACTACGATAGTTTAGATGTGCATTTCTTCATTTGTTCATTAGGATAGGCCCCAGCGAGGATATTCGTGAACAATCATGCAGTCACGCTCTCTGACATTTCTCAACGTATACTGAAACGCTAAGACCAAGAATAAAGGTTCTCAGTGATCAGAAAGAACGCTTATGTATGTTTTCGTGGTAGGGAATTCCCAAGGGTTTCCTCAGGAATGTGGAAGTAGTCCGTCGGTGTTTACGTCATTTCAAGAACACGGTCTCGTGAAAAACGTATGAACGTCAAATTGTGTCGTTCATACACTTATGAACGTCAGTTTCGCGGTCATGTGACCGACCTCTCGTCCAATGGAAAAGCTGTATATCGTGTAAACTTCAAATTAAAAAATTATATCTGTTTGAACAGGACAACTCGTTGTGTGTCTCCTAAGCAGACGCTTCTGAATCCATTCCAAACAGTTTGGGCAGGGCCCATATAGAGAAATATCCAAAAATCCGAAAGTAAACCTCCTTCCTAAGACAATTTCCCCTTCCTGTTCTCTCAAAACTTTGAGGTTGTTTTCATGGTCACTCTTCCTTCTTAGAATTGCAAAAAGTTCCTTTACTCTCTTGGGGTTTTCACTTGAACAAAAGATTATTTCCCTCATTTCTTCTTCCTACTTCTTCCTGCATGACTTCATAATTTTTCTCACGAACATATTTGGGAATGTAATATCTGGTACTATGTCTGCCACAGTGCTGCAGACATCTTCAGTAATATCATCAGAACTTTTTCTCTTGAAAGCAGAAAGGTTTGGTACTTGTATAACATCAGAGCAATCAGCACTGTCTGGAATCTCATCTGTACTTGGGTTGTATTCTGAACCAGAGTCAAGGTAATCACTATCCATAAGATCTTGTCCAACAGCAGTCAGTGCAGTGTTGTGCTCGTCAATCTTTTCACCCACTTTGGTGAGATTAGCGTTCATTTTACGAATTATGTTAAGTAACGCTGACTACATGTCAGACATATCCACCGAATCATGGTCGTTGGATGTTTGGAGACTTCGTTGCCTTGTGCTTTTTTGGAACTTGAAGTGCCAGCTGCAGTGAGACTGCCGTCGTCCGACTTCGGACTTTTCAAAGCTGCTTCAGCCATGTTTTACCAACACGTGGTTTTGTGTCATCCAGCCACGAAAGATAGGGCACGCAAGAGCCGCTACCATTAAACTTCCCTGGTGTAGGCAACGTTTTTTTTGTAATTGTACGCTTGAGTATAATTATATACTGCTTCACTAAGTTAGTCAGGCCTGAAATTATTCAGTGAGATATAACACGTCTCGACTCGGAGACAAGCCGCTAAGCACTGAGTCGCGCATGCGCTCTGCTATCTCACGTGATCTGGAACATTACGGGATTAGCCGATCGAATCAGTAAGTGACCACACAAGATCAATATTGAAACACATAGGATTAGGTTAAAATTAAAGGCAACATAGATCCAAATACATGTCATTGCACTCACAAATGTTGAGGTTTTGCGATTAGTATCCTGTCTGCACTGGCAGGTAGATATGTCACAATATAAGTTGTAGTAATATAATGTATCCCACATTAAGTTTGTTCCTCATTAGTTCTTTCAGGATGATTCTGGTCTTTTGGATTTCAGGTCTTTCACTTTGGAAAGTAGGTCTCCTCAAATAATGGAGAAACAGACATTCCTGCTGACATTTCAGTGCCTCAAACACTCACTCAGCTCTATCAGATGGCCTTTGTAACCTCAATGTTCATAGTACCATTTTCTGAGGACATCCCTTTAGGACATTACGGGTCACGTCAGAACGACCTTTCGCAAACTTTTACTGACCAATACGTCAATAAGACAAGAAGTCGACATTAGCCAATCAGAAAACAGCTTTTTCAGGATTTATGGCTCTAGTTTCAAACTGGCAACTACGCTAGAAACATATTTCGACAAATTCTTTATTATTAATTTGAAACTGAACAAAAGAAAATTCTGGAATGGCTAATAGATGGTCTAGATTGTATGGATTCAGTTGTAAAGTTCTCGTTCTGAATACCCTGTGTTAAAGTATTCGAGGTTGCATGATTAGAAAACACATTCCAACTGTCACTTTCCTGATCTGGTAAGCGACGTCTGATTGGTCGGATGAAAGGTCATTCTGAAGTGACGCGAAATGTCCTCAGATCTTTGTATCGAGAACTAACATCTGATTTTAATTGGATTGGATTAACTTGTATTGTAGAATAATCTTTTATTGTAGAATAATCTTTCAAATTTCAACTTTATTCTGATTCAGCATAATTAATCTGTTTCCCCCTAAATGTACATGTAATGCTGATCATCAAACTATTAATGCTTTCTCCAAGTTTTTAACACAGTCATCCATGCTTGTAGGCCAGGGCCAGCTAACACTGTGAGGCACTCAGTGAGGGACAGGGGTCTCCTTGCAGTCATGGTGAAATGTGATTTGCAGGATTTGCTGATTCATTGAAGTGGCTTTACAAAAAATTAATAAGAATGTGTAATCCCAAATTAGACTTTTGTTGCATGTGACCACTTTCTACCAGTTGTCGGACTTTCATTATTGTGGAAGCCCTGGTGGCTGAGTGGGTTAGATCACAGACTTGGTGTGCTGGCGATTAGGTGCCCCACTCACCCCAAAAGTACTTGAATTTGTACTGAACTAAGAAAGAGTTATCCCCAAAATGACTTGTTTACAGATCTTGTTGCCACATTTTACAGAACCCATTAAAGAGAATTGTAACTTTGAAGGATATTCTTTTCAATCTGTGTAAACATGGTATTGTATATATTGTTACCGGTATTGTAAAAATAAATAAATTACATTTTTGCATGTGTAGGTCGCTTGAATCTCATCACAAGTCTGGTTAAGACAGATTTGACTTCTCTGTATGTGCCATATTTGTTGTAGCAAAGTTTGTTTGAATGAAAAAGTGCCTGCAAGTTACAGTAATTATTCTACAGTTCAAAACATGCAATGCTGTATAGTTTTGTGAATAAAGTATGTTCAATGAAGTCATTTTGCATTGTCACTTTTGTAAAGAATTTTTATGTTGTTTGGAAGACACGATGTGTGAACAAACAAAGGGACATAACTCCTGACAAGTTAATCCACGATTAGTTATGAAAGAAAAACAAAGGAACTTTATCTCCTGTTCGGCAGACGACTAATGCCGATTTATTGGTGACCAATATGGAGCCATGATGGCCGGCTTCCCTGGAACCGGAGTCGCAGGCCACACAGTGCTGGATTGTACACACTGGTGCATGGATTGTACACACAGTGCTGGATTGTACACACAGTGCTGGATTGTACACACTGGTGCATGGATTGTACACACAGTGCTGGATTGTACACACACTGGTGCATGGATTGTACACACTGGTGCTGGATTGTACACACAGTGCTGGATTGTACACACTGGTGCTGGATTGTACACACAGTGCTGGATTGTACACACAGTGCTGGATTGTACACACTGGTGCATGGATTGTACACAGTGCTGGATTGTACACACTGGTGCATGGATTGTACACACTGGTGCTGGATTGTACACACAGTGCTGGATTGTACACACTGGTGCATGGATTGTACACACTGGTGCTGGATTGTACACACAGTGCTGGATTGTACACACTGGTGCTGGATTGTACACACAGTGCTGGATTGTACACACTGGTGCATGGATTTCAGGGCAGTATCTTCACATGAGCGAGTTGGTTTTAACACTGCTTTGAACAGTATTCTAGTTACATGACAGTGTGTCAGCTTAATGTGGGAGAAAAGCCTGAAGTGACAGGTCTCAGATATTCACAAGCATGGGTATGGCGCTGAAATAACTTAACGATCCATGAAGATCCGGGTTAGAATAGGTCTTACAAGAGGCGACTTACAGCATCGGGTGGTCAGGCTCGCTAACTTGGTTGATGCATGTCATCATATCCCAATTGCGTAGATTGCTCATGATGTCAATCACTGGATGGTCTGGTTCAGACTCGACTTATTACAGACTGCCATCTTATAGCTTAAATATTGCTGAGTGTGGCGTTAAACAACAAACAAACCAAGTAACAGGTCAAAACCGGATTCGAACCCAGGATCTTAGGTTTCTGGCATGTCCTTAGTCGACTGACCTGTGTCCCCCATCTTCACATGGATTGTAAAACAAAACAAACAGAAAGAGAGTTTTACAGTATTTTTTACTGCATGAAAAAAAAAATCTGTACATTTCAATATCAATAATGGTTACAAAATAGACCGCTAAGCAACTGAACTTAGCATTGACTGGAATGCAATACTCCTTTCGGTTAGTTATTACAACACCCCTTCACTAAATACACACAATCAGGGCTTAACAGCTTGCACAGTTAGCCCTAACCATGTATATCTGCGTCAAATCTTGTCAAATCTGTCCACATCCAGCAAGATAACAGGAATTCATCACCAGCCCCAAACATGTGTTTGTATAATCCTGTTTGCCCAAAAAATACAAACACATGTTTAGGGTTCAATAACCTGTTCTTCCAGGCAGGACCTAAAATAAACAAGACTGAATATTTTGGCAGCCAATGGGTGTAGTGGTGTAGTTGTCATAGCCGTGTGAAATCACCCCTAGAGGGGCGAGTCAACCGATGATATTATGAACGTATAATTTTTTGAGTAATACAGTTCAACCTTTTGATTTAAAAAAAATCCAAAGTCATGTATCCAAATTTCCATGTTTTTCCAACAAATCAGTATTACTCAAAAAAAGGAGATCAACTTGGGGTGACATTTCTCAGAATAACCTGCAATCTTGACCATTTTGAGAATAAATATGCCAATATATTTTGACGTATTTCTTGTGTAAAATACATGTGGTGACTAACGGTCACCAACCAGTGGTTGAGACTGCATGTTCTGAGAAGCTGCCAGCTGTTGCTGACTACATGAAATCAGCACCTGTCAATCATATCCGGGTCCTGTCAGGTGATAGCACTAAGAAAAACCTCATTATTATTCATTGTCAGTTTACCGCTTCTAAACGTATACTTCACAGCAACAGTAGTGATAACTTTGTGCATGTTTTTCTTCATATACATTAAATATTGACATCTTTTTTTGTTACAAATATATCTGTATCATATGAGGGTTACATGATATAGACAAATATCCGATAGTTGTAGCATGCTGCCAAACTAGCTACAGAACACATTAATAGGAATATAAGTCTGCCTCAACGTCAAATACCAATAATTTTACCAAGACTAGACACCTTTAGACTTGACATTTTTTCATTTTTTAAAAATAAATGTTCGAAAGTTTTGCAAATTTAGTTTTCGAGTTGAGGCAAATTGTTCCATAATCAAGCTAATATTTTTTAATCATTCAATTTTACTTATCAACTACAATAAATATATTACACTCAAGTTCACCTTAACTTATACAGCTTAGATTACACAGGTATGAGAAACCAGGGACTCAAGTTGGTGCACACTAAACATGCATAATAGAGCAAAAGGTTCAAGAAAACACCTCCCCTATGAAAAGTAAACATCAAAAAGAAAAAAAAGTAAAAAAATCTGTAAATTGGGGATGAAGATATTTAATACTGTTTTGTCGTTAATGTTCTAATAATGTATTTTCTATAAGACGTTTGGTCAATCAAATTGGGTCAAAAGCACTCATTTTATTTCTTTTTATTCTATAGCACTCGTGTCATGTTATGAAAGTTTCTCAAGGTACCAAAAATTCAATTTCATTGGACACCTAGATTGTAATTTGACTACCACCCTTAGACTAGGTAAATGTCCTTTGACTAGAAAAATACTCTACCCAAACATACTTTGTAGACCATATTTTGGACAAAATTAACTTTATTCAATGGAATCGGATCAATTGTGTTTCATCACAATAACTAAGGTATGCTTTTGTGTCATAATGATAAAAACTAAAAATGAGTTTTCCAGTAGAAGTACTGAAGTCATGGGAAAGATGTTTTTGCTTCATAGTGATTAAAAACTAAAAAAGTATTTTCCCACAGAATAAAGTATCCACTTGACTTGTACACGTTTGTGTGAAGGTCTTGCACATAAATACTGTGTTCTGTACAACCCGCTGCACAGTGCGTACAGCATTGCACAGAAAGCGTAAAACAAGTCTTGTCAATATGCTTCAAGACACAAACCATACAATCCATGATCTGTAACCATAAGCTGGTTGTCCAAGTCTTGAGAGAGTAATTCACATGGGTTTCCATATGAGTCATAATTAAAACCTGTCCTCCTCCATGAAGACGTCAAGCTCCCGTATAGTGCCAGAGGTCGTGACATTTAAAAGCACATCCCACAACATGTAAATGCCTAAAATCATCTACAAGATCTTCTCACACACAATCCGTCACGACCTCAAGCTCCTCTGTATAAGAGTCGACCTCTGAGAGAAGTTATCACAGAACGCACAGTTAGGATTGCACAGCTTATTGAGCACACTAACAACAAAGGGGGACAACTGCTGATGGCACTACCTACGGCAAGGTTCTACGGTGGCCAGTGGAGTCACTCTATCTAGGAGGCACGAGTAAGGGGTAATATTGCATAGAACCCGTTTTTTGGAAGCGCTGCACTGTGTCGCTATATCGTAATCTCCACGCCATCACCTCAAGGTGACACTCAACTCTTGGACGACGACGGTGTTGCACTGGCCATGGCGCACATGTCTTGGTTATGTTGGTTGTCATGGGAGATGGGGGTCACATGATGAGCATTTTAGTGTGGAGTGATTTGCTACGGAGGTTGCCTGAAAATAGGATGATGGTCTAGGAATGAGTATCCACTACAGCAAGGCGAGTTGCCGGGTGGTCGGCCCGTAACCATGACAATGAGCCTCCACCTCATGAGTGAGATAGTAGCCATGGAGCAGCAGAATCAGACCAGCTGATTGCCTGTTGCCATGGTGACTGGTCATGTGACTATCAGAACCAATCACGGCCCTTGTAGTGATGAAACTTGAGCAATCATGTTGAGAACAGCTTCTCGCCTCACTCAAATGACATCAGATTTACAGGAGGCTGAAAAATAAAATGAAACTGTCAGAAAGCTGCTAGCATAATTTTTTTCTTACATTTTTACATACATTCTCACCACAAATATTTACTCTTCCAAATGAATCCTTACATAATATTGATGATATTGCTAAGATTTATTCCTAGATGATGAAATGTTGCACTCACCCGATGCGAATACCTCTTTGATGCTTCGCTCAAGTATCTGCACCACTGCAAGGCTTGTGATTGTGAACCCGCTCGAAATTTGTACACATTTCCTGAAATAAACAAACCATCCATCAAACACCTGTACTTATGTTACAGATACTTCAATGTCTTGCACACCCTAAAGAATAATATAACACAAACTTTTACACACACAAAAAAAAAGTCTACAAAAATGAGAATAGGCCACAAAGTAATTTCTTGTTTTATTGGGTATTCTTGATGAATGTTTAGTGGCATATGATGTTTTATTAAAACGTCAGTTTCCTTAAAAATATTTTAAAAAATAACTGAAAATACAGGAGGTTAAAATATATATATATATTTAATGAAGAACTTATTCAAAATTTAGTGTATGTGAAAGAAATAGACTAAATATTCCAGTGACTGGAGAATGTCTTACCCCTGACAGGATCTGTAAGCTGGAATGCATCAGGCTGCAGTGGGTTATCTCCCATGACCACCATCCAACCAACCACCGACATCATCTTGCTTGGATTCGACTTAAACTGCAATAGGTGGGACATAACATTTTAATTCTTGAGAAAACAATTTAAATCCAAACACTTAATTATAAATTAAGCAACAAAATTATTTCACACAAAGTTATAAGTGGCAATTATTTCCGTTACATCACTGATTTGAACAGATGCAATAATAACTGAATGAATGGCTATTTAGAATACTCACAGCATTGCGATCTGTACCACGTAAGGATTTCGCTGGGTAGAACAACAGATTTGTACCCCACATGGCGACCCAATACCGTGTCCATGACGACACCTGAAACATAAAACAGTTGGTAATAACTTGGCTTCGACAGGGAACGTTGTGAGTGAATGTTGTTTTGAGACATAGTCATCATGCGACTCCTAAATAATCAATCCTGGACTGGACAAACCAATGGTTGATAGCACGAGCAACTGATACTGTGACATACCGTTGGTTTCTTCCCCTCCTTGAGCAGCGTCTTCCTCTTCAAACAGCTTTCACAAGTAAAACTGGCCTGGAATATAGCTTCTGGGGGTTCCTCCGAGTCATGGAAATGCACACTGAAATCAGCACCGTCAATGTGAAATATACATGTGCCTGACAAAATCACCACAACTATGCCAGTATTCCAGTATTCTTTTAGGGTAAAAATATTATTATACTTATCCTGACTCATAATTAATGCTTATATCTCCTCATTTCTGAAAGGTAGTGGAAATTCCTGAACTGTGTTCCCAGTACAGAGAAAACATCTCACCCGAATGCAACCCTAGACCGCACACGTTACCAAGCCCAGTTACTCGTCACTCTCTCATTTCCCCTACTCAAAATCAAATTGCATCCCAAACCAATATCTGAACTGAACACTTACCTGTCTTTATTGGGCCAAAACGACTCGGGTTCACTAGACGTGGAATCTAAGTGCTCTCTACCTTCGACTGAAATTGACAACATAATTATCAAAACATGTTCATTTCAAGGTCATATTACCAGCAATATACAATAAGCAGAATCAGAACGCAAACCAGGTATACAAGTATTGATCATCATGGACGGTACACATCAAGGCACTGTATATAACTACTTATCCTCATCCCAAATAACCATCAAAGTCAAAAGCCATTAGATAATACATTTGACTTACGATTTTGAAATTTACTACAGACGGATCCGTCGCTGGAGGCACATGGGGACTCCTCAAGGACGCTGTCGTCCAGCAGGTGGCGGATGCCCTGGACGTAGGGGGCGGTGGTGCGGGAGGGGAGGCTGTACGTGCGGTCAGCCTGGGGGTGGGTGCAGCTCATGAAACTGAAACAGTCAACATATTTACTTATTGTGATGTATTCATTGTCAGAGTCATCATTTACAAAGAAAATCCCCTTGACAAGCAGATATTTGTTTGTTTGTTGTTTAACGCTGCACTCAGCGATATTCCAGCTATATGACGACAGTCTGTAAATAGTTGAGTCGAGACCAGACAATCCAGTGATTGACATCATGAGCATCAATCTATGCAATTGGGATACAAAGACATGCATCTATCAAGTCAGCAATCCTGACAACCCGATCCCGTTTGTCGCCTCTTACGACAAATTTTTAACCCGGATCTTCACAGGTCGACCAGCTATTAACATCATCAGAGCAGCAGGTGGCTCCATGGTTGGTGAATCAACTCATGTCTTTAACTGACCGTGAAGATCCGGGGTAGAATAGGTCTTCAGCAACCCATGCTTGCCGTAAAAGGCGACTATGCTTGTCGTAAGAGACGACTAACGGGATCGGGTGGTCAGACTCGCTGACTTGGTTGATGCATGTCATTGTATCACAATTGCGTGGACCGATGCTCATGTCAATCACTGGATTGTCTGGTCCAGACTCAATTATTTACAGCCCGCCGTCATATAGCTGGAATATTACTGAGAATGGCGCTAAACAACAAACAAACATGTACTTAACTGTCAGCCTCAGCCACAGAGAAGATGCTTGAAAATGACTAACAAACAAATAGCTGTGATATACAGTGGAGACACAGCGAGGCTTGGTTTAGATAATGTGATATTTGGTTTTGATGTGACAACATGTGAAAACAGAAAAAACCTACTTAGCGCTTAAGCTGCGTGACTTTCTGTGCGAAGGTGCGAACTTGGAGCCGGCTCCAGGTGAGAGCATGTTGCGTGGTTCCGTGGAGGGGGAGGCGGGGACGTGGTGATGGGAGCTGACATCCTCCCGGGACGACGAGTTGGACTGGGAGTGAGGGGGTTCCAGCTTCAGGGATAACCTGCAACACGAATACATCATCAATACATCGCTCTCATACTCAAAAACAACACTGCATCAATACATCTCTCTCATACTCAAAAACAACACTGCATCAATACATCTCTCTCATACTCAAAAACAACACTGCATCAATACATCGCTCTCATACTCAAAAACAACACTGCATCAATACATCTCTCTCATAATCAAGAACAACACTGCATCAATACATCGCTCTCATACTCAAAAACAACACTGCATCAATACATCTCTCTCGTACCTAAAAACAACACTGCAGCAAAACATCTCTCTCATTCTTGACAGTTACTTCTTATACATAGCCAAAGAAATAAACCAATGGATGTTCAAAATTACAGAAAGAATCATTATCCTCAACAGTTTGCTCAGCATTTTGAAATGAGTGAGACGTCAAGTTGAACTGGTACATACTTGTAGTTGTCATCCTCGACAAACTTCTGGAGCTCCTCGATGTAGCGGACTGACTTCAGGTAGTTTTGTACGTGCTCCAACACTGGAAGGTGGTCTGCAATACACCAAATCAACCGTTTAACAACAACAACAGGTAGCTGTCAGACCATCAACAACTCCTAGGTAGCCAGATCAGATAGACTTGTGTAAAAAAATCAGGATGATGTACAAAAATAGAAAAAAATAAATATGACATTATATAAAAACATTTCATGTATGCAGTGTTTGCCCTCTATCCTACTACACTGTGTAACTTGTTAACTCCACAACTATCAATAGCGGACAAGCATACAGCAGATGGAAAAAAATGGCTTTAAAATTATTATTTTTTAAAAATCACTTTTATTTTTTTTTTAGGATAGTCAGAATCTGTAACCCAATATTATTTTAAAGTCTTCAGTACATTGCTTAATGTTTATATATATAGACTTGTGAGGAACTTGTACACACCGTATTGCGACTGCTGGAAGTCTGCAATGACTCGCAGGATGTTGTTCATCTGTAGTCTGCGAGGCTGACTCTCCATGCCGCCGTGGTGCGGATGTGCCACGTCAATGTAGATCAGGTCAGTCAGGTACAACCCTGCAGTGGACAAGCGTATATCATGTTTGGTAGTTCATGTCAGAAACATACAAGCACATATTAGGCCACATAAATGTGTGATAAATTCAGTTAAGTATTTGGCGTTTAATAATCATCTATACAGAAAAAGCATTGGCAAACAGTGTCAAAATTAAACAATATATTTATGAATTATTTACATGAAACACTTTTTAGTAGATGTATTTTGTTTAATTAGTTGGCATAAGGTTTATGTATCATCTCAGAATGTTTTAAACAGAAAACCTTTTTGTTCCCTTGATTGATTAATTAATTAGATAAGCTTAAAATGATGTCCTTACACTTCTTTTATTGAATAATTCATTAATTATACTGATTTTCTACCTGCTGGGATACAAAGCATATTCAAAAGAGTGCATTTCAGGTGTTGTCCAACAGAAGGTTTTGGGGTGATGCATGAACTATGACTAGTTGTGAAGAAGCCATGACTGTCTGGCTCATCACAATGACAATCAATATTCCAGGAGTGGATTTGAATACTACGCCCCAGGGTCTCACTGACTCACTCATCCTCACTTGTCAGGATGACACAACCCATCTTTATCATTTGTTATGCAAGCTGTGTCTAATTCTGGGCTAGAAATAGCCTTCTGATGTCCATGAAATATGATGAAAGAATCTTCAAAATTTCCATAACATATTCATGATGAAATACCTGTCACAATACATCATTACATCGGGATTTGTTTCACACAATACTTGAAATGAACAAAAGTTGTCTATGATTTTCTGTTTTTATGCATTCTTGCAAATTTGAGAGTATTTCCTGTCATGACATTCGGGGATAATATGTCAGGTGGGTCATAACATACGTGAGTCCGAATCCAGCCTTGCAATTGCAACTGTAACTTGAGTTAAACATACATTGACAGACCTGCAATCTACATAAACAGCCAGATACCCCTGCTACTATCGAGACATCAAACTGCTGCCTGCTTGGTGTACATAATCAGTTTGCAATGTACAACCCTCAGGCAGACTGATATTTACGTCTCATTTGAATGATGGACATGAAATTGACGAGTAATCTCGGCTGATTGAGCTTAATCTACACGGATTATTACAGTGAAATGCACAAGTTAATGAGTGAAATAGACGTTTGGATACATCCAACCTTCTTCCTCCAACATAATACCCTTGTCCAATGAACCTATTTGTTATGCCTGAAATTTTCATCATCCAAATGCAAAACAAATTAAATGCAAAACAATAAACGTGACATTAAACAACAGCTTTGATCTGATCTAAATACATGATAAGGATGCTAATCTCCCTCCGTGTTTATTGATTACGGCCAATTTCTAAGTTTCTTCTGATTTTATTTACAACTTTCCTCCCAAGCCCTAAAGTGAATTTGTTTTTGCAGGTGAGAACGACCCCGCCTAACTCCTTACTCCAGCTCACTCCTCCCTCCATATGGCCAATGGCCGTTTAGTTAACTAGGTAGACATTTTCAGTAAGAACCTTGGTTCACGCAGAATAAACAGAATTACATAGAGAGAAAAAAACATTGTTGAATTGGTTAGCATAACACTCAGTTGTTCTTTCAACGTTATTTATTTTTATTTTTTTAATGAGAATTTAGTAGCCAGACTTCAAATGACTTCAAACACAAAAGCCTATTCTGGTGGTACTCAGGGTCTAAGTGAAAGTGGTCTGCTCTGTGACACTGTGAAATGTGCAGAAACTCACCTAGATACGGAATACATGGGAGCTTGACATTCTCCATGTAATCTCGTAACTTCTGTCGATTACTGTTCTCAGAAAACAGGTCAGCCATTTTTTCATACATTGATTTGTCTTTCTTGGAAAGCATCTGAAATAAACAAGCATTTATTTTTAACTGGCTAGACAAGCTAATTTCAATAGAATTTTGATTTTATGCATAGAAATGGTACCCCAGCATCCCTCACTTGTCTCAAGTGCCAACTATGGAGAGTCAAGTGGTCAAACTGTGTCACTGATGCTCTACCCTGATGGCATGTCTTAATGTTCATGCTTTCAACCACTGGTTCTGGGGACATAGCTAGAATACTAGGTCTTCAGCAACCCATGCTTGCCGTAACAGGCGACTATGCTTGTTGTAAGAGGCGATTAACGTAATCGGGTGGTCAGGCTCGCTAACTTGGTTGATCAATGCATGTCAACATATCCCAATTGCGTAGATCAATGCTCATGATGTCAATCACTGGATTGTCTGGTCTAGACTCGATTATTAACAGACTGTCGTCATATTGCTGTTATATTGCTGAATGTGGCGTTAAACAAGAAACAAACAAAACAGCCAGGTCACCCTCAACAGAGTTTTGGTACAACACTATGTTTGCTAAAACGAATCATATGATAATGTTTACCTACAACACCTTTCATTATCTACCCACAAACATCAAAACAATTCACAAATGTTGGCTTCATTAAAACTATTTTCAGAAGCATACAAATTCCATCGCAGACAAACAATCCCAAAATAACATCTAATCACCAATTACCTCCATCCATGACCCAATTACAACAAATTCCTGCCTACATAATCAAAGGAGGTCCACACAACTACTCCTGGATGGGCCATTTAGAACATACTGATGTAGCTAAACTGAATATCACAGCCAAATGTCAGGACAAATTACTCTGTTGTTTACATGGAAATATCAGCTTCCCACCAGCCTTGTTTCCTATCTGATGGAAACACAGAGCAGGAAGTATTGCCTTTACAAAGCTTTAGATACATATCAAACAAACACATGGTACTAATCTAATTTGACCTTGCGCAATGTAATTATAACAGCATTCGTAAATACGTCACATGGCTTATTGATTGCTTGGCAACCAAACAGTCATGTCAGGGTAACCTAGACAATGTATTTTGATCTTTAAAAAATATAATTCTGTAATTACATTCCTGAATATTACATATATTTCAGTTATTGCATTTTCATAATATCGTAAATGCAGAATTACAGGGGAAAAAGTTTGGTTAAGTAGCTTAACTGGATTCAAATTGCTGAGGTTTCCTAATTGTATCTGTCTGGCCGGTGAAAATAAAAACTCACCCTGTATTTTATTTGATATAATTATATACTGCCCTAAAAAAGTTAAGAACACCCATTTTTTTCATTTGACTACAGTTAATCTGGCAGATGAAGTAGTCTTTTGAAAAAGATCAGGTGTTCTTCTTTTGCTTAAATATATTTTATTGACGTGGTCAATAGGATTGGTGGCGCAAAAGTTATCCAACCTAGGTGGCCCCCTCCCTAACTTCTATAGTAGTAGTATATATGTTTGATGTTTGTTACAAATCAGAAATTTCCATAACCTAGTGTTATCTAAAAGCTACTTCTGTTTGGAAGTGATCACATAAACCAAATTACAAATGGTAACGAAAAACCCCATACAAATTATCAAAACTCTTTCAACTTCAATTGAATTTGGTTTATATGCTATTACAGAAAACATCAAGAATGATTGACAGGCAATGAAGCGGACATCAGTGAAATTGATTACTGACAATCAATCTTCCATTTGTGATAGGTCTAGAGGTTTATTAAATCAAACACTGTCTGTCCTTTGTATTATCTTGCACAAATTGCGTACTAGACCAAAGCAGACTCGTCAATATTGACAGATTTAGATTGACGCTGACCCACTCTCCAGGGCCAGTCACAGGCCTGTGATTACAGAGTCACAGGATCACAGGATGCACGGGCCAAATCGATGATGAAAACAAAAACTTCATCGTCAGCTCGCAAGGATCGGGGTGGTGTTAACTGTCTAAACACCATCAGATAACTGTCTCAACATCGGGCGCCAAATTTACATATTTGGACAGAAAACTAGCAAACAGGTGATCACCATTCAGGCAGCGAGTGGGGCTTTCTAAAACTAGGGTTCTCTACCGTGCTAAATTTGTTATTCATGCATGGACGCTAAATGCTATAGAAACACACATCAAACACTCTTCAGGATATAAAACATTGATTGAGTGAGTTTTTTAGCAAACACTCTGGGGGATGTTTTGGTATGGATGTATGGCTGCATCATGATGGTGAAATATCACCTGTACTATAATACCAGGACAAACAGATTGTGCCGAGTCAGCAAATACCGATCTTTTACACTGAAGGACGCTGGAAATTACGGGACTATAGTGCATAATTGATGTTCAAGAGTGACATCCAAAAGGGACGTTTCCTTCCACCATACAGAGCCTTACGTTGACATTAAGAGAAAAACCTCAGTTGGTATTTGGCTTCTCCGAGGTGACTGTTGTTTTTGGGGAGCAGTTTGTTTGAATTATTTCTAAATATTCTACACGATGAGGAACACGCTAACTCCTACAGTCATGTACTATGCAGGTGTCGTTTTATTTAGGTCGTGTGCACCAAAGATAGACCTGCACAATACTAGATTCAGACTCTGCCGATCCTAATTTCTTGCTGAATCCAACAGTACGAGAACAATCAAATACACAGCCTTGTGTAGATAATCTGTATCATTGATGACTTGAAAATATATCAATATTACTATCGCAAGAAAAAACTCATATTCATATTAAATATTAGGGGTGAAACGATACAGGAAAGTCACGATACGATACATATCATGCTATACAGGTCACGATATGATAAGTATTGTGGTACGCATATTTACATCAAATTGCATGGAAACTATGTGACTACAAATATTTCAAGGCAGGTTCAATAGGAAAAGCTAGCTGTAGACACATGTTCGTAAATACTATTTTAAGAAGTGAACTTGAAACGCTAACGCCTCCCTGTAGTGAACGACCTCCTACAACAAGCATGTGGTACTGGCAGCCTCGGCAGCCTCGGCAGCCTCGGCCGCCCCAGAATCTCCACGTGGTACTGGTGGCCTCAGCCGCCACAGAGTCTCCACGTGGTGATGGGGGCCACGGCAGCCCCAGAATCTCCACGTGGTGATGGGGGCCTCAGCCGCTACAGAATCTCTATGTGGTACTGGCGGCCTCGGCCGCCCCAGAATCTCCACGTGGTTATGGGGGTACATTAGACCAGGAATATCGTCGTAGATTGCATATGGATTACAAATCCCTCGGTACGAAACAAAATGATAAAAGAACGAGTATAACTTACCATCCATGTTCTGGACAGCCGGAACACTGCAGCACTCTGCAATGCCGAAATTACTGCCATAACTGCATGTAGGTTGTTGAGGTCAAGAAGTTTCTGAAATGTGAAATTGACATGAAATGAGCATCAATTCAGTGAAATGTACATGCAACCTACATCCCCACTTACTTGACACATTGTACGGACTGATCTACCCCACTTCTAGCTTTACTTTCAAAAATAAAGTATTCTACTTTCTAAAGTTAAATTGAAAATTTAAATTTAAGTAGAATCAAATTCTTTTTTCAAGACCTAATTATATCAGCATGATCTTATTTGTACTTAAACCATGGAACTACAGCCACAATAACTGGACTGCTTGGATCAGACATATTGTACTCTATAACATGTCGTCTATCACAAAAGTTTGAAACAGAAAATGTTTCAAAACTTGTATTTGAAATTGACATGAAATGAACATAATTTTCAATACTAACAAGATGCTTGAAAGTATAAATGATATTCAAGACATTCAAGTAGTTTGAACATATCCATGCACACAATCTGTGCATAAGACGACTTCACAATGTTATAACATACCTTTGCAATCTTGATAAAATGAGACAAGACCTCGGCTCGGGTCTTCAAGGTTTGACAGTTTAATATCTCCTTTTGTACCCAGAAGTTGACCTGGAAGAGAGTCCAAATGCATAATGTATCTGAAAAACTGTGGTGATGGCATTGTGAAATAACTAGAAAAACTATATAAAATGTCTAAAATGAAAATATTGGGTTAAGCTAACTGTCAAGGGCATGCATCTTCCATCAGGTGTCAAACCAACCACTAGATACTCATTGAGTCTTTAAATCCACAACAGAAAACACCAGCTGCTAAAAAGTTCAAGAATCAATTTCAACATTTTCTTGCTAAAAGCATGACCGACAAATAGGATAAGGAAGCATGTCTATTAGCCAAAATATTTTGGTTTGGGGGTCAAATAATATCGCTATCTTCTTAGCTGTGATAATAACACATTTGCTTGTCTATAATCTTAAATTTGGGCTTCAAACGAGCTAGTTGGTTAAGCCAGACATGAAATCGATTACTGAAAGGCAATACGCAGATAGGTACTTGGCACACTGCCAACAGGCCAAAGATCGTACATTTCATTCACGAGCATGAAGAACATACATGGGTTTTGTTTGCATAGCTGAAGGGTATTTCAGCAAAGAGCGGTTATTAGATCCTCGTGTGTATTTCACACAACTGAAACTCTGAATGAGGAATGTTTGTGACTTATTAGTAATTACATATCTAGCCGAGCATTGCTGACAATCTTGGCATTGATTCCGAACTGACTGACTTGAGTGCAGCAGTGTTTGGAATGTGACAGGTTGTTTATTTTAGGTCTGTGTATGCGTGTTTGAGCAGTCTAATAGCAGATAATATGTTGAAGTGAAATGTACAAGTGGAGAAGTGAAATGTACAAGTGGGCTGAAATGAACGCCAATTCCAACCTTTCTATTTTTTTACAATAACAAAACGGTTTTCCATAGACTTCTAATGAAGTGCACTGCATCAGAAAATGACATTGCTGAAATGAGGATGTAACTTACATGGTTGAATCGTCTCGTGAAAGCGACGACATTGGGGGCTTTGATGAGCTTCTCCTTCGTCGTCCACGCACATGATGTAAGCTCCTGAAATTGACAACAATACACAATATAATGTACGCAATGCATCTCCAGCTCATTCCTCTCATCCCAGGTAGGCAAAGAAACATTGCCCAGAGCACTTGGCCTTCCATCATGGAAGAGCTGCTTACAATACTTCAACTACTTCTTGTTGTGGAAGATACATTGCTTATTTCAAGGCTGCACTGTCTTTTCCCCATATAGGTAGGTAGATTACTGTCAATGTGCAAGTGAAATGAACTCGTTTCACACTGACACACAAACTATCAAAGACTGTGAGCCAAAATTTCTACAAGGAGACAAAACCTGCCACATAGATGAGATTTCTACAAGGAGACAAAACCTGCCACATAGATGAGATTTCTACAAGGAGACAAAACCTGCCACATAGATGAGATTTCTACAAGGAGACAAAACCTGCCACATAGATGAGATTTCTACAACGGTGTCAGTGTTACAGTCATCCACATGGTATGCTTTCCAGACAAGTCAATCTGAAGCGTTTGTAAGTTGTTTTGAGATTGCCACTTGAGGGTAATTAGTGTGAATAAATTGATCTTTTTTCTTTCCCAAGAGTTTCCTGGTATGCAGAAAAGGGCTTGAAATTGATTACTTGTTCTGAGTTGTACAATTTCAAAGCTTCATATTCAACCACTAAAGGGTAAAACCTTGTTTGTTTAACGCCACACTCAGTAGTATTAGAGCTACATAGCGCAGCCAGGAAATATTGTGTCAGGACCAGACAATCCAGTGATGGTGACCCACAGTCAACAAAGTCAACAAGTCTGTAGTCTATTTTAACCCTTACTATCCACACAAGAGCCTTTTACCCCAGAGAAGGCATAATACACAAATAGTGGGTCACAGTCACTACATTACTGGGGCACAGTCCTACATTACTGGGGCACAGCCCTACAAAACTGGGGCACACCCCTTCATTACTGGGGCACAGCCCTACACAACTGGGACACAGTCCACATTACTGGGGCACAGTCCTACATTACTGGGACACAGTCCTACATTACTGGGGCACAGTCCTTCATAACAGGGGCACAGTCCTTCATTACTGGGACACAGTCCTACATTACTGGGACACAGTCCACATTACTGGGGCACAGTCCTACATTACTGGGACACAGTCCTACATTACTGGGGCACAGTCCTTCATAACTGGGACACAGTCCACATTACTGGGGCACAGTCCTACATTACTGGGACACAGTCCTACATTACTGGGGCACAGTCCTTCATAACAGGGGCACAGTCCTACATTACTGGGACACAGTCCTACATTACTGGGACACAGTCCTACATTAATGGGGCACAGTCCTACATTACTGGGACACAGTCCTACATTACTGGGGCACAGTCCTACATAACAGGGGCACAGTCCTACATTACTGGGACACAGTCCTACATTACTGGGGCACAGTCCTACATTACTGGGGCACAGTCCTACATTACTGGGGCACAGTCCTACATTACTGGAGCAAAGTACTACATTACTGGGGCACAGTCCTACATTACTGGGGCACGGTCCTACATTACTGGGACACAGTCCTACATTACTGGGGCACAGTCCTACATTACTGGGGCACAGTCCTACATTACTGGGGCACAGTCCTTCATTACTGGGGCACAGTCCTACATAACAGGGGCACAGTCCTACATAACAGGGGCACAGTCCTACATTACTGGGACACAGTCCTACATAACAGGGGCACAGTCCTACATAACAGGGGCACAGTCCTACATTACTGGGACACAGTCCTACATTACTGGGACACAGTCCTACACAACTGGGGCACAGTCCTACATTACTGGGGCCTAGTCACTACATTACTGGAGCAAAGTACTACATTACTGGGGTACAGCCCTACATTACTGGGGCAAAGTACTACATTACTGGGACACAGTCCTACATTACTGGGGCACAGTCCTACATTACTGGGGCACAGTCCTACATTACTGGGGCACAGTCCTACATTACTGGAGCAAAGTACTACATTACTGGGGCACAGTCCTACATTACTGGGGCACAGTCCTACATTACTGGGACACAGTCCTACATTACTGGGGCACAGTCCTTCATTACTGGGGCACAGTCCTACATAACAGGGGCACAGTCCTACATAACAGGGGCACAGTCCTACATTACTGGGGCACAGTCCTACATAACAGGGGCACAGTCCTACATAACAGGGGCACAGTCCTACATAACAGGGGCACAGTCCTACATTACTGGGACACAGTCCTACATTACTGGGACACAGTCCTACACAACTGGGGCACGGTCCTACATTACTGGGGCCTAGTCACTACATTACTGGAGCAAAGTACTAAATTACTGGGGTACAGCCCTACATTACTGGGGCAAAGTACTACATTACTGGGGCACAGTCCTACATTACTGGGGCCTAGTCACTACATTACTGGGGCACAGTCCTACATTACTGGAGCAAAGTACTACATTACTGGGGCACAGTCCTACATTACTGGGGCACAGTCCTACATTACTGGGGCATAGTCCTACATTACTGGGGCATTGTCCTACATTACTGGGACACAGTCCTACATTACTGGGGCCTAGTCACTACATTACTGGGGCACAGTCCTACATTACTGGAGCAAAGTACTACATTACTGGGGCACAGCCCTACAAAACTGGGGCACACCCCTTCATTACTGGGGCACAGCCCTACACAACTGGGACACAGTCCTACATTACTGGGGCACAGTCCTACATTACTGGAGCAAAGTACTACATTACTAGGGCACAGTCCTACATTACTGGGGCACAGTCCTACATTACTGGAGCAAAGTACTACATTACTGGGGCATAGTCCTACATTACTGGGGCATTGTCCTACATTACTGGGGCACAGTCCTACATTACTGGGGCACAGTCCTACATTACTGGAGCAAAGTACTACATTACTGGGACACAGTCCTACATTACTGGGGCACAGTCCTACATTACTGGAGCAAAGTACTACATTACTGGGGCATAGTCCTACATTACTGGAGCAAAGTACTACATTACTGGGGCACAGTCCTACATTACTGGGGCACAGTCCTACATTACTGGGGCAAAGTACTACATTACTGGGGCAAAGTACTACATTACTGGGACACAGTCCTACATTACTGGGGCCTAGTCACTACATTACTGGGGCACAGTCCTACATTACTGGAGCAAAGTACTACATTACTGGGGCACAGTCCTACATTACTGGGGCACAGTCCTACATTACTGGGGCACAGTCCTACATTACTGGGGCACAGTCCTTCATTACTGGGGCACAGTCCTACATTACTGGGGCACAGTCCTACATTACTGGGGCAAAGTACTACATTATTGGGGCACAGTCCTACATTACTGGGGCACAGTCCTACATTACTGGGGCAAAGTACTACATTACTGGGGCACAGTCCTACATTACTGGGGCAAAGTCCTTCATTACTGGGGCACAGTCCTACATTACTGGGGCACAGTCCTACATTACTGGGGCAAAGTACTACATTATTGGGGCACAGTCCTACATTACTGGGGCACAGTCCTACATTACTGGGGCAAAGTACTACATTATTGGGGCAAAGTACTACATTATTGGGGCACAGTTCTACATTACTGGGGCACAGTCCTACATTACTGGGGCAAAGTACTACATTATTGGGGCACAGTTCTACATTACTGGGGCACAGTCCTACATTACTGGGGCAAAGTACTACATTACTGGGGCACAGTCCTACATTACTGGGGCATAGTCACTACATTATTGCATTGTCTTCCTGATAACAAATGCGGATGTACGAGACTATTTGAAACACTACAGTAGACCACACTTGAAAACGTGGGCGTTAAATTGTGCAATGTTCCTAGGTGTGTCAGTTGTATCACATTCTTCATTCAAACAACGAGAGGTCATGTGGATTTGGGACGTACACACTTCCACATTTCCGCTTATCGAGGACATCTTTACCATCCAACATACAGACACAATTGTATTGTTTCTGTGTTGTTCTGTAAGAATATACTCACATATTGAGAAATGAAATATGTGGAGAAACATGTGGTATATAACATGCGTTAAGCCTCCAGTAGATCCCTACATTCCAATTCTTCCACGAAATATTCCCAGACAATAGGTTCTAAATAAAAGCAGTTACTTACATCAGGTTCAATGGACTGGAAAACTGGCAAATCGAGGAGAGTTATCTGACTCTGGAAACAGAAAAGAAATAGTTTTACATTCTGTAAGATATGATTTGTTTGTTTGTTGTTTAAGGCCGCACTCAGCAATATTCCAGCTATATGACAGCGGTCTGTAAATAATCAAGTCTGGACCAGACAATCCAGTGATTGATATCATGATCATTGATCTTTGCAAATGGGATATGTGAAAATACATGCCCAACAGTCAAACATCTTTGAACAAAACACTCAAACATCTTTGAACTACACTCAGATGTTGGCACCTAAATGAACATTACTCTACACCGGTAGGGCTATGTTAGGTGTTCACAAACAATGTTTTTAATGAAACCCCTTATCCACTGTAGTTGTCATTTTGGTCACTTGAGAAAACCATCCAAAGGACGAAGTACCATCAGATAACTCCTCAGCAACATTTTTAGAAATTGTCATGTAAGCTCAGGGTACTTACAGCGAAGTCATCGGGGGACACCTTGAGAACATCAAACACAACAGCATCATAACTCTTCATTCGGGGGAGACTAGATCTCTTCTCTAGTGACTCTTGGCTTCCCTGACTGACGCCCTGAAAACAACAGAGAACATTGTAAGGAAATCACTAATAATGTCTTGAAAGACAAGCCTGAAATGGTGATGTGTGAAGTGGAGACAATCCTGTGTTTCAGTTTATAACCAGATGCCACAGCCAAGCCTCAAACCATTATGAAAGCAAGATTATCTTTGCTTCCTTGGAAATGCTGGTTTGAAAGGTTCAGATTATTTCTAGGCTGAGGTTAGAATTTGTACACAAGGTCAAGACTGCAAAGGTCAATTTTCAAAATATGGAGAGAGAAAACAGAACACAAACTCGATGCCTCAATTTTGACGGACAAGAAGGCCTGGTCAGTACATCTTTAAAATGAATAGGCACTCAAAAACATTCTTGAAATTTGCAAACAAATCATAAAACCTTTTGATGTTGAAATTTAGAAATGGAATCCAACTTTTTGAGTTTTATGTCAGCAATTAAATTAAAACCATCTGAAAATATTTCATCACGTTTCTTATCCAAATTACCACTCTTGTTTTCTTCAAAGGCCTCTCTAATGATGTATTGGGCATTTAGACCCCATTAAAATTAAGACACCTTAAAAAAGATTCAACTGATTGAATTTTCTCTCTGGTCACTATGAAATGAACCCTAATAATCTAATAGCTTTCATTTCCTGATAATCAGGCCATGCCAGCTCTGCTGCAATGGTCTGGCTAACCAACAGATGAAAGTCCCCTGGAGATCCTAGATTAGATCCCAAAGAGGAAGCAATTGCCAACAGGTGTGCCGTTTTTATAATCTCACCGATAACTTTCTCACTCCAAATAAAAACAATCTTCTGATAAGGATATCTCTTGTAAGCTCAGAGCGTCTTCACCACATATTTGTAAGGCCTGAATGTTTTCACATATTTCACCGCCGTAAAAATGTGTTTCCACTTCTGAGTTTCCCAAAATTCATCCATGAAGCTCCCCATGAGGCCGAGCCGCTCTAACAACTGCTCACCCTTTAATCCTTAACATATTTCCCTATTTCGTAACATGGTAAGACCTTCCCTTTTGGAAGTTTTCCCCCATCCATTTGTCTACATGTTATCAGAAAAACAGCTTTGCATGGTACATCCGCTGCTTAGTTTTCAAGATGCCCAGGCTGACGTGTCTGCCCCGTTCTCTACCTGCCTGCGTAAAATAGCTCCCAACTTGATGCTAGATCCTAAACCCACGCATCTCTGGCCAGATTATTATCCCGATATGATGGACTTTCTCAGCTTCATCTTTCCCTGGTGATGTAGCAGTTATAAACAGCAACCTGCTTTTACTGGAAACAATGCCCGGCTTCACAACCATCTCCTTGAAAGCGTCAACACACTGACAGTGCTTACTGCATGGTTATATTGTCTTAGTAGCCATGCCTGGAAGACCACAACAGAGTCTTAAATACATGCAGTAAGAGCCTGACTTAGCAAGTCTCACTGCTGCCAAATCCAATATTTCATCAGCTTTAGACTGGTCGCAGCTGTTGTTCAATATTTGTATGTCCAGTTTTAATAAAGAATAGTGTCACAATTGTTATTTCAGACTATGACAATAATTGCAAGAGTATTTCAAGTTTTGATGTTCATATCGTCATAATAATGCAGAGGATATAATTTCATAAAACAGTGTGATTAATTTTTAAAAACGCTTGACATGATTTTTTATTTGGTCAAAACTACCAGTACATTTCATAAAACAAGAATAACACTCCCATGTGGTGATCCACGATGATCCACTATGAAGAATATTTCTTTTGTTCCCAGTACAGACAATCTTAATGTAAATTTGCTACATGATAAGTTGCAGAGGACCACCTCATATTGTTATTGTTGATACTAGGAGGCCAACTTCTTCCTACCTTGGGGCACTACAACAACAGAAGCAAGTATAGGATATGTACGTATACTGTCTACGACCACCAAGGTGATTGCCGACCACCAAGATGATTGCCATCGGGGCTTGCTGTTCAAATACCTTCAGTGTTAAGCACTTCCAATGATGAGGAGCGGCATCGCTTTGCTGGGGATTTGATCACTCATCATCCACATCAGGAACCGATATACTTATACTGACATACCTAGTCTATTTTTACATATTTGGTGAGTAACTTGATTGTGAAGATACTCCAATACAGACTGGACTACAGGGTTAGAACTAAGCTCAAAAACTTGACTAGCCCGGGTACAATGCTTTTGTAATGTTAAAACAATGGGTAAATTTGTAAATTTATACTAACCTGCAAGACCTTATACTAGCCCAGGGCTATCCCTGGATTATTTAAATCATTTTCAATTATACCAGTAGTCTGAAAACCCAGTTCTGCTTACATTTCAATGCTGAGACAGACAAGTGGGGCTAGTTCTGGGCACAGACATTTTATGGACAAACTTCCCCTGTATCCTGGTTGCTATTAACAAAGCTTTTTAATTCCAACTAGCATAGAGTGGACTAGGAAAGTAATAAGAAATGAAAGGCATAACTGCTACATATAACTGGGATCCCATGTGAGCGAAGCCGGAACATAGATGCAGGTCCCTGCCCTCGGCACATAGTATACACATGAACATGCAATCCCATTCCTACATCATATTAGTATTATTAACAGCAGATATGAATGCTATGACCAGAATGTTGCTACAAACTCCTGCTAAAACTACAAAATGTCTGTCAACCAGAATCAACCTTGAACGTTCAAACTTCCAGGATATTATCAGCGTTATTTGACCTTGAGATTTGCAATATTAGGATGCAAATGGAAGCGAGGCAATAAGACGTGTGTGTACCCGGAATGCCCAGGAGGACCAGACATCCAACACACATCAGGTACAAAGTGTTTGTTCCCCACCAAAAGGAAAGTCAATGCCTTATCAATAAATGGGGTCCACAATACTTGGATCCTGATCAATACTTTATCGATCTCCAATTACTAATCCTAGGATTGGACGAGCCTGGCTATTCTTCAGACAGGCAATTCTGGCAAGATGCCTTGACGGCTGTCACCATGTCAAGATATTTAATAAAACCCAATAAAGCTAGAGGTCAGAAAGTGGAGGGAATGACCTCTTAGCCAAGCTGTACCTTGACATTTTCGTTCAACAACAACTTATTTTTGGATGGCACATTTCTCTCATCTAATCACAGAAACTTCCAGGAAAATGAGTTCATTAGCCATTTCATGTAAAAAGACATAAAAAAATAACACCTAAAAATAATAAATTTAAGAGAAACAACATGTCTCTTTCTTTCTTGAATCACCGAGTTAAGAAACTCATGGCAACAACCCACCAAGTGTATCAACATGGGATAATTTATTTAGGGAAGTAAATTTTCTAAGTATTTCATGCAACAGGTTTTGAGAGAAAACTGCTGTGAAGCTAAATGAATATGGCATTTTTAATAACACTTTTCTCGTTGTCTGTAATAGGTAATTACGCAAACATGGCCCCAGATGTATAGCAACTTTGTTCAAAGGCTTGAATTATTACTGTCTTCATTCAAAGATGGCCCTTCGGGGCTAAACTTATTCTGTTCAGTGATACTGTCTCCTTGTGAAGTTTTCTACAAGATAAGAATGATGCCTATTTAAAAGTTAAAATCTTTCATGTGGAAGATTACAACTAATTTCTCCTAAAGCAATTCAAACATAATTTGATAAGAATGTAACTACATCTAATCAGCTAATAATCATCAAAAATTCACACTCTTTTTCAATCTGACTTTTTTTGTAATTCGACAATTTAATCATAAAAACACTGTTATGTTCAATACAAACAAAGCTTCAGACAACTTGAAGATACAAACAATTCCCCTAAATCTGTCAGCTCGAGCAGATTCAGTGTTACGAGGAAATCAATAGAGTCCAATTAACAGGCCCTGGCGTGTGACATCACTCTAAATCTATCTTCTCACTCTGCTGTTGGCTGTAGCCAGCCATTCATCAACAGGATTACCTGGAGACTGAAACAATAGCTGACAACTGTCTCCGGACCAACTGTTAGGGAAGATGTGATGAGACAGTTGGACGGAATCTGGTCCACCTAAGGAAACCTAGACTTGCATAAGTCTCTGTTTATAGAATCATATTTTCTAGATAACATAAATAAATAATAATAAGTTGTCCCTAGAAGAGACTGGCGTACTGTCCACTTATCTAGACTTGGCTACTATAAGGATAGAAGTACTATACACCCATGGACCTATCATTCAGTACAACCTTGGAGCAAGGCTACAGGAAACTGTAAAATGATGTATTTGGCATTTATCTATTTCTAGGTTAATAGATTTGTGTGCAACAGATGGTGAGAAATATTTTTTTTAAAAAGAACCATATGTATATCTTTAGCTATCATAACATGGGAACTACAGCCCCTTGTTGGAGAAGTGTACCCCTTTGTCCTTTATGTTGCAGAATCAATAATGGATATCTTTCATACGCCAGACGGGGTCCAGGTACTGAGACGATGCCTGTAGTTGCAATGCCTGTTTAAGGAATGGGAGATGAAACCTTGAATTCTAAATCAAGAGCACAAAAAAATCTCTAATGTCGTTATCAAAGCTATGCTCTTGACAAAAACCCCAGAAATCATGCATTTGAAAGCATTGCATACTTCAAATAAGTGTTTACAGAATCTGAAAATACTCTCCAGGGAATTTTGGGTGAACATGAAAAACAACATCACAACCCTGGCATTTTAGCTGCAGGTGGAAAAGACTACACAAAGCAGTTGTTACTCAACTGTGAGAATAGTTTTTGACCTTTTACATCTGCAATATTTGCCCCAAACCTGTCAACACAGGCAGCAATAACAACATTCCGAAACATTCATCCTAGCTGCACACCGTGACCTACTAACCGATGTGAGCAGGAAAAAAACCTAATAAATTACTTACACAAAACATCCAGTCAACTTTCACACTTCCAACATAATCCTAACTGTGAGCAAGGCCGGGTTTATCTGCTGTAACCGTATGCTCCACGAGCCTTGCCATCGATCATAG